AGATGGGCCAGCCTGAGTTGGGCAAGGCCGTCTCGCCCAGCATTCTGTTCACACAAAGGCCAGCCAGCTGCCCTAGCGAGAAATCCACAGATGGGATCGGAGTGCAACAGCACCCTCTTCCCATGTTCCCCAGCAACTGGTGTATGCAGCTACACTGCCTCTGATCCTGGAGGATGCATGGAGCCATCCGGAGTAGGAGCCGCGGTTAGCCTTTCCAGGAAAGCCCTGGAAATTGGTGGCCATCGCAGCCTCTGGTGGCCGTGGCTTCCATGCCTGAGTTTCACAGTCTCAGGGCTATGGCACAGGCAGGCGGGCAGGCATCCTCCTTTATTGCTCCGGATGGATGTTGCCTCCTTCTGCCATTGGCACTCGCTTACCCAGGATGACCTTGAACGATGAGGGGCTGATGAGGTCACGGCTTTGGAGGACGGAGTCCTCTGGGTCCAGCTCATTGTGGAGACAGTGAGCGGCAGTCACGACCCACCTGTTGCCTAGGAAGCAATGAAGCAGGAGGTCTGTATCTCACTTAGGTCACAATTAGCCTAACGAAGCAGCAGCAGCAGCCACGTCCCACTCTCAGGAGTCACACGTTTCCAGATCTGAAGTTTGTTGCTGGGCAACACCTTTCTGAAGACCAACCAAACTCACCAAAGTGCAGAAGCTTTTGCATTTGCTAGAATGCTTTCTCAGGCTGGGTGGTCCAAAAACCAGGAGATACAGAAAGAGAAGTGAAAAAACAAAAACAGCCCCCCACCCAAAAAGAAAATTTAAATTCAGAATGGCCAGGTGTTGTGGCCATGAGATCTCGAAACTGAGATTTCTGGCCTGAAATTATTCGGCAGTGGCAGGTGCTTCAGGACTTATAAAATCTTAGAACGGCAGAGTTGGAAGGCCAACAGGTCCAACTTCCTGCCCGGTGCAGGACTCCCAGTTAAACCAGTCCTCTCAGATGGCTGTCCAGTTGGCTAGGATCATACCTAGATCATAAGAGCAGAAGGGCATAAAGGCAGGAAACGAAGGGTTGCCATGGGGCGTCAGATCAAGGACCACCTGGTTCAGCATTCTGTCCTCACGGTGACCAAAGCCAGCTGCCCACCGGAAGCACAAAATAGCTGCCTTCCTTCAAAAACCAAGGCTGTGACCTGGATCAGACTCTTGTGCTGGCTCTCAAAGTGGGCTTCTCAAGCACTGAGGGAGCCTGAAAAGCCGATGGCCCAAGAAACCTAACCGCGTGGAAGCAGAAGGCCAAACAGTGGAGCTGCGGGAGCACGTCTGGCAGAAATGGAAGCTGTGAGACGCGTGCCCGCCTCGTTCCAGGATCCCCTGCAATGCTGCAGAGGTTCCCTGTGGTGACAGTCAGCAGCTGAGCATCTGAGAGCTGGTCTCCAAGTCCTGGAAGACAGAGACGTGGCCCCGTCCTTCAGGGCCTTTGCAAAGAGTTCAGAGACTTTGAGCGGCACAAGTCGATGCGGGTTGAGTCTGCAAGGATGTGCTGCTTCCCCAGAATGCCTGTGTCAGGTGGCATTTGCTACCAGGTCCAGATCCACAGCGGGTGCTCGGCTATCAACTGGTGTGTCTCTCACTCCTAGCAAGCTCCCTGTAGCTTCTGGATATCCTGCCACAGCTCTGCTTCCAGGAGGCAGGGAAGCAGCTGTGCCCCCCAATCTCCTTTTCCCTTGATCTTGGTGTCTAGTGCAGTTGAATCTGGGCTCTGGCCAGGTATGGAGTTGCTGTTGACTCCACAAAGCCATTTGCCAGGGAGGGGACTGATTTCGCTTAACTCTCTGACTGACGGATGCCCCCGGTCTGAGAAATTTGGTCCTCCGGGAAATATTTCCTCTCATTCCCTCTCGGGGGGCAGGTGATGGTGCGAAAGAAAGCAAGGCCTGGGCTGATGCCGCTAATGGCTGAGATTGCTCTCGGCACACGCAGGTCACGCATAGACAGAATCCATGTATCCCCCTTTTTACAGAACGCAACATCCTGCAGTGGAGGAGATGGTTGCATTCCGAAATCCTTTGGAGCACTTTCTTTGCTGCAGACCCCACTCAACCCAGCAGGTTCTTACCTAGGAGTGAGCCTCCGCAGAAGGGGAGTCCATTCCTGTGCAGCATGGCGATCCACGGAGAGACCCCCCTCTGGGCAGGGCGCTGATTAGCAATATGGGCCGGCAGGCTTCTGGAGAACTTTGGCTTCCCGCACACTGAAAAAGGCAGGGGTGGCAGGTGTTCAGCCTGGGTCATGGCTAGCACACCGCCAGTAGCTCAGGAACAGGGACTTGTGGGAGGGGTGTGGAGGGTGGGTGGGTGGGCGCGTGCAAGAAAGCGGCCATCCTAGGTGGTCCCTTGAAGCCCACCGGAGTCCTGGTGTGGCTCAATGAGAACTTTTTGTACTGACCTTCTTGCTTGGAGGCATCACCCCGATTCTATTCTCCTGGGAATTCAGTGGTAGTTACCCAGTTTAAAAGTTGCAACCAGGGTACTTTGGAGCCTCGCTTGGCTTGCTTGATCTTGGTGCCAGGAGCAGCATATCTGTTCCCGACTCCCTTCCCACCACCAACTTTTGGCCTCCCCTGGGGAGGGTTAGGTTGGCTGACCAAGAGCTGAACTAACTGTCTGAGAAGGCCTGCAACGTAACAGGGTCACCCAGGGATACACAAACTCTGGCCTGGAGTGCTTAGAGAAATCCATTTTGATACTCTTGCCTCCAATTTGTGAGACTGACATCTGATTAAATACTTCAAATAAAGAATGAAAGATAGGTTAGGTCTAATATAAGTACAGTTCTTCTGCAGAATGATTATCTTTACCACAGCCATTTCCCGTAAACATGAAAGTTTTAATTTTTCCCCGTTGTTACAATAGTCTGAAACTATTGTCTGAATAGTCTGAATGGCTTGAAATTTAGTTTGACAACATTTTCTATTAATTTTGGTAGATGTGTCTCTAAGTATTTATACTATTGGCTTTTTGGGTACCACAAGTTCTCATGAACTTATCTTTAATAGCCTTTGTGTGGGATCAGAGATCTGTCTGCCCTTCATAAACCCACATTAAACTTCCACAATGACTTTAGATGCAGTTTCATCTAAGACTGAAGCCAACATTTCTGTACAGTGTGTCTTTGCTTTAGCCATGAAATTAGTCTATAATTTTCTACTTCCTCCGCGTCTTCATTTGGTTTAGACTGTAACATTATGCTGGAAATTTTCATGTGCATCACACAGGCACCCCAATCACAACTAAAAACAACACAACCCTGAACGGGTACCACAAAGCCTCTCTCTCTCTTTTTCCAGGGGATGTGGGACAGTCTTTTACAGCTGAGGAGTAATTTATGAGGCAGCTTGAGAAAATGCAGCGGAGGGGAAGCCAAAGCAGGAATGGTCTCTTTAACTCACTGCCACCCAGTATTGGAAACAGTTTAAGGTGTGAACCGAGCAAGATTAGTGGAAAGCGCCAAACCGGGAGGCGGATGATCTACCATGGCAGAGCGCAAGCAGTGGTGGAGGCAGGCTGGGGTGGCCTCTGACGGCTCCCGTCTCCCCGCCTGCCCACCTCCGGAAACACCCCCTTTAGCCCCTCTCTGAGGCTGCTTTCTTAACCTCAGAGCACAGCCGGTGCCGTTCTCTCACACTTGCTGTGAAGGAGGGAGAGGTGTGGAGCCGATTCCCGGCCCCGGCGTTGGAGCCCTGTCTCCAGACTTGGAGAATCTGGAGAATCAGAACCATCCTATGGCCCCCAGAACACACTTAGGGGCCACAGGATTGTTCCCTAAGACCCCGTGTGCAGCATTATCTCCAAGAGTCCCGTTTCCCATGACTGATCAGTGGGCCTGAATGAATAAAGGATGCCAGTCATGTGCAAGTGATCCTTGTCTCTTACTCTCCACCTCAGGTCAACCCTGGTTGTTCTGATGTGCCATCAAGATGCCTCCAACTTATGGAGGCTTCCAAAATCTCCTGTCCATGATGTCCCCTGCTCAGATCTTCTAAGCTCATCAGAAGCACAATAATTCTTCCTTGCTGCACCCAGTACTTAATGCCGCCTCTTATCTGAGCACAAAGCATCACCAGAAGAAGTTTAGGAGTCCAGCAGGTGATGCTTTGCTCTTTTTCACCATCTTCTGGGATGTTCCAACCATCCAGGATCGCTGCCCTGTTCCTCGTTTCTCCCTGAGTCCTCCGTCTGGCGGGCCTTCAACATTCAGTGTGAGCACTTTAAATGGTGATATTACTTCTTTTAGGGTAGAGGTTCCTGCTGTTCCTCTGGATGAGTGCCTGCGCCAGAGGAGGAAGGCTGGTTCTCTGGAGATGACCAGTGAGAACCAGCGAAGAATTTCAAAGATGCTGTTCTGGGTGGAGTTTTGAGACGCATGTCTTGGACAAGTTCCACCAGGCTGCCCTCTGTCAGCAGGAGATATGTGCTTCACTCTTCTGCTAAGTGCTTCTTGATAGCCCTTCCATCAGCCGATTCCTTAACCCTTGCCATTCTGAGGTCAGTCCTTCTGTTTTCCCCGGTGTCTTTCTTGAGGCGTAGCCCCTCATTCATCAACCTCCATTTGTAACAATCTTCTTCTCATGACGAAGCCCCAGTTTGCTGTTGCAGGGCCCATCCGGGTTAGTCGCTCCTTCCCAGGCAGGGTCCTTTGAAGGCTTTATCGCGTCCTTCCAGGCCTCCAGCTGTTCTCCAATTTCTGCCATGTTGATGGCTCCAATGTCAGCCATTTTGTTCAGCCTTTTCATCCCAGTGTGGTTGGAGGGGCCTCATTTTGTGACTATATATTCTAAGTTAACAGATGCTTCTAGATGAATGACTTTAGGACTGGCAGGACTCTGAGAAATTCCCCAGTGAAGGATCTCCCTGTGTTTTCATTTGTAGGATGCTCATCTTTAGGATTGTGGATGCTTATATGGGCAGTGGACCAATAGATTATATTGCCACTTCTCTTGACAGGTTTCCTCTCCAATATAGTCCTTGATGCACAGAGATTTCTACATGACACAATAATTTTATTCCTTTCTCTCTAAAGATTATAATACAAATATTAGGAATACTACAAAATGGAGTACAAGACCCATAACAAATAGCATAATATATCTTAAATATGTAACAGAGTCTTCTAAGCATGCATTATGCCAACACGTTCTTTGGATTATTTCAGTGCCTGATTTCCTGACTGCTACCCTCTGAAGCAGAACCGTAATGGATGAGGGAGGAACCAAGGAGAAAAAACTCCAGGTTTTGGCCTGATGGACCATGCGGAAAACCCCGATCCTTTTATTGGTATGTTTTTAAATGCTTATCAGAACTGGGAGTGTTTCTGAGGTTTACGCAAAAGGTACAGGGCCCCTCTGCCTTATGCTGGGGATGACATGAACGGAGCCGGCTGCAACCGGGGGTCAGACTAGATGGCCTCGGAGACCCCTTCTGCCTTGCTCTGTTTCTCAGCTTCTATGATGCAAACATCCATACCAGGGAGGGTTAGTTATTTTTCGTGGGACCAAGGTCTGTTAGGATAAAATAGACATGTTTTTGAGTTATGCTCTTTCATGCATCGGAATTGAAAGTGTTAGGAAGCTGCTGTAGTAGGTACATCAGAAGTCATACCCATGGGCCATATAGCCAGTGTTGTCTACACAGACTGGCAGCAATGGCTCTCCAGCGTTTTTCCCACCTTAACTGGAAATGCTAGGGGTCCAACCTGGGGCCACTGCATGCAACACAGATGTTCTGTCCCATGGGAGTGGCAGTCCGAAACATCTGGAGCATATGAGATTGAAAAAGTCTGCTTTAAGCAATGAGGTACAGGATAAGGAAGCACAAAATTCAAAGTAATTTTTTCCTATACAAGAAACACATATGTTTCTCCTTCTAGTTGGGACATATATTTATCTTGGGCAAGGGAAGGGGGGGAAGATGGTGGCAACGTGACATTAAAATTTGCGTCATGAACCAGAAGTGGATAATGGCAGGAAGCTGGAACCCACAAATTTGCAAAGATTGGTGGAACATGCTCTGGACGGAGTACAACTTGAGTTGTGTTTATTGTGAATTGAAGAGGGAACCCTCAATATTTGGAAGGGTATGGTTGGGAATACTGAGTGTTTGGTACCAAATCCTTCCAGGAAACTCACTACTCACTAAAAAAGTCAAACTTTTGGTGCAGATTTTTCATTTGATAACCTGACAAGTTAATGATTTCTTTCAAGGGGAGAGAGTTGTAATTGAGTAATTAAAAAAGGAGTTTTCCTTTGTAATTAAAGAGGCCACTAGAATAGACCAGATGCACTCTCTCTGTGTGTGTGTGTATGCGTGTGTACGGGGGGGGGTCATTAAATGTTTAATGCAATGCCCACTGTCAGGACAGATCAAACAAAGTACCTATAAGGGACATATATGACATATTTTAGGTGCACACCTATGCTTGTTAAAGGCAGAGCCTGAAAACATAAAAAGTGGACATGGCAAGGACACAGCTGCATACGAAGATGTCCAGTGTGCTGGGAAAACTCCATTTCCCAGGGACCCCAGTACTGGGCAAGATGCCCAAGCAGCATCCCAGCAGGTTTTGGGAATGCAGGCAAGAAGTCCCCCTTGGCCCTGCCCCACTGCCCCACAGCGTCCAGGGTAGGAAAGGGGGAAGGGAGCCATGGGCAACATGTTGGAAGGGCTTATGGGAGAGTTTCTCCTCCCACCGATGGGCCTGGAACAAACCAAGCTATCTCGCAGTTTGCAGCGCCTAATTCTGAATCTGCATTCACCAATCAGCAAGGGAAGCATATCCAAATTAGTCGCCCCAGCCTGCTGTGATCCACCTAAGCTGCGTCTCTTGAGGTCTCATCAGGAAACAGGCACTCCTTTCATGGCCCCGGGAGGCTGGGGAACAGATCTGCAGGGCGAATGATTCCTTGGACACCGTTCAGTGGAAGGGCAGGGTGAGGGACTACTCAGCCTATGATGCTCACTCAGCCACGTTCCGTGTGGCACTCCCAGTCGCGGATGGACGCGTTGGGCCTGGAGTGGAGCGGCGCTGGTGGCAACGGCAGATTCCGCAATTGGCAAAAATGAGATATTCCCATAACAGAAGCACTGTGTACACAGAAGTTACCTGGGCCCTCCTCCCGCCAGGAAATAACAAGTGTAAACATCCGGTGAGTGGACAAAAGCGCACAGTCCATCGCAGCCTTCAAAATATCACGGACACCCCCGAGCTCCGAGGCCGTGCTGGCGACAGGCCCCCAGTCCTTGCTGGCTCCGCTCATCTGCCCACAGCCGTGCCCATGAAAGTCCACCCACTTTTCTCTTGCAGCCAGTCCACGTAGTTGGAGACCTTGGTGTACACGCCGTAGACCTGCTTGCTCCCGCACTCTTCCGGCCCTCCCCACGAGACGAGTCCCTGGGCCACCCACCTCCGGCTGCCGGGGTCCTGGATGACGAACGCTCCCCCGCTGTCTCCGAGGCAGGTGTCCTTTCCGCCTTCGTAATAGCCCGCGCAGAACATGTTTTCGGTCACGCTGTAGTTCCCCGAGCGCGACTCGTAGCTCCTCTTGCACTCCGAGTGGAGCACCACCGGCAGCTTGACGTACTGCAGGACGTCGGAAAGGATCTGCATCCCCGAGCTGATGACCTCGTCCACGGTGATGTTGGGATTGGAGATGCCCCAGCCGGCCACCAGGCCCAGCGTGTTGGGCTGCGGTCCTTCCAGTTCGTGTGCGTGCTGCGGCAGACACACCGGCATGACGTACGGGCCCATGGTCACCTTCTCCTTCAGCCTGACCAACGCAATGTCATGGTTGTAGTTCTGGATGTTGAAGGCCTCGTGGAGGATGATCTTCTCCACCGTCCGGTTGACGGCATCCATCTTGTTTTTCACATTGTGAAGGCCCAGGTAGACAGTGACATGTTCCTTGGAGACGGGGATGATGGTGTTGTCCCGGCGCTGTGAGCGAAGGACGTGGGCTGCCGTCAGCACCCAGGACTCGGAGAGGAGGCCTCCGCTGCCGAACCATCTGTCATTAGGGACCCGGGACGTGTCTTCGACTACGATCAGCACTTGCCAGGGGAAGAAGCCCGGCTCTGCGTTTCGCCCACCGATGATGCGCTTGATGAGCGTGGGGAGAGGGTGGGCCGGCTGCCCGCACACTGCGAAGAGAACACAACAGCCATCAGCCGACCGTGGCCGGGCTCTTCACCAAAGAGCAGCTGAACTGGGACTTTTGAGTAGATGATGCCAGGTTCTCTCCCAGGAAATTTGACAAGGGGGGATAGAAAACTCCAGCTTCGCCTCGCTCAGGTCTGCTCTTGCTCCCTACCGTTTATTGTATAAGCGAACTACTGCCTGATCACTTTTAATTCCAGGGATGGATGAAATTGCAGTGTATGATTTTAAACAATTAGCAATTCCAATGGACATGAGGAATTTGGAAATGATGGAAGGTTGAATGTCAGATTTTGTGGATTCTGAGATTTTGTATTTAGTATATTCCTGCAGCCAGTGAAAGCTCAGTAGCAAAATGCTCAGGCACCGTGCAAATGGACTGAAATGTCATTTCTAGGAAATAAATATTTTTCAAATGATACCAATTTCAAGGGGCCTAAGACCTCACCATCAATGGCCTTGGGACTTGAACTGTGTGCACGTTTGTGTATTTCCTTGACTGAAGATCCATGCCAAATCCACTTCTGAAATTCATTTCATACATACATGTGAATCTGAACTGTTCGGCCCACCTTTTTAAATCTTTGAGGCTGGTCTAGATGGTCGGCAGAGGCCACACGCCCAGGTTCCCCAGCCCCTGCAGGGGCCTGAATTGTGAAAAAGCCAGGCTGTGCTTAACTTGCAGACCTTCAGCTGCTTTTTGGTCCACTCTCTGCCCACGGATGGGCTCAAAATGCACTTGCCCAGATTGGCCACCCAGAGCATCATCCTGGCTAACGGGTGGGGAGGAAATTAAATAAAACAGATACATCAGCAATGAGCAAATTCTTCCACAGTGTGTGTTTTTACACTTTTGTTGTGCACAGATGCCATATTCTGGATGCCTGAGCTGATGGTGTCTTTTCAGTGGCTAAATTTATGCAGAAATACACCAAGTGGAAAGAAAAGAAACTCAAGCCCCACGGACAGGTAAAGGCCGGAAAAGCCAGCCCGTTCAGGTGTCCCTGGTGGGCTTGCAGAAGGCCCAGTTCCTTTTTGCCCTCTGTGGCTTTCTCCAGCATCCCCACCTGCCTGAGATTTGCCGGCGTGAGCACCAGGTGGAACCCTTGAGCAGAGCTGAGCTGAGCTGAGCGTTGCTGGTGGAAGAGCGGCCCTGAACGACCTGGGTGAGCGGTCCCGCTTGGCCTGTGGCAGATTCCCGTCAGACTGCCATGTTTCACATGGGTCTTAAGAGCAGTGCCCTCAAACAGGACGCTCCTTTTCGTTGCCCCCCAGGGAGTGGGGAGGCATGACCTGTGGCATAATCTACAGGCAATGATGCACTCGCACCGTGCGGCGCGATCCATCATTGCGGCCTCGGAGATCTGGAGTACCTGGTGGGGTGGGGAAGGCTGTGGCCGAGCTGCCACAAACATGCACGGGGAGCGGGCACAGGTGCGGCGTCCCTGCCGCCGGCCAGCACAACCTTCTTGGTCTTCGGAGATGCCCTAGGCTGGCGGGGAAACAGAGCGCGGGCCGGGCGCGGCTGTCGCTGCACCTCTGCGGGGGCTGCATCGCTTCTGGAAGAGCCTCGACCCCCCCCCGGGTGCCACAGAGATCTGCGCGGCCAGCGGTGTGCCAGCTGCTCGCTGTGGTGTACGGATCTGACCGGCACTGTACCAACAAACATTAGTTTGCACACAACCTGAAACCGATGGGGGATCCAGGTTGCCCCGGGGCATTTGAGTGTGGTCATCGCACCAGGCTGCCCAGGGTGTCCGCAGCATGGAATTTCTCAAGGCAAACATACTTGGCCAGCTCCATCCACTCGCCAGAAAAAAATAATCAGAAAATTCCAGCGGAGCAGCAGTACAGACTTGCAACATTTCGCAGGATCCTGACCATGTATAAGGGCTTTGGACTGTTCTTTTGTCTGCTAAAACTGCTTTCTCAATTTGTGTTCCGTTTGATCAGGACGGGGGCTCTGTGTTTGTTCCTTGCCACGGTAAGGCGGGAACGCTTCACCTGTGAAACACCTGCTTGTTACATAAGGTGCGGGAGGCCAGTCCCCACCCCTGAGCTCTCCTGGATGCAAGTCTAATCAGTTTCATGCAGGTAAAATCAATGCGCCCCGATGTGCGCGGTGCGACGTCCACATGGCCAGACGCAGGACGGCCTCAGTGCAGAGTGCTCACCACAGTGCGGCTTCCACCTGCCTCTAACAACCCCTAATGCTCGGAGCTGGTCCACCTGCAGCATATAAACTGCTGTTTTGAGGCTTCTTCCGTTTCCATTGTGGGAAGATTAGAAGGACCTTTGCAGGAGGTTCCCCCCGCCCCCCCCCCACCGGTTTCTGCTTCCCTTTGCATATGCTCCTGTATGTTCCTTTGGAGAACACCAGGGGGTGTGGAGGGACACGGGGTGGGGGGGGGGAATTGCAAATTTGTAGGAGGCTTCTGTGGTGGATAGAGGCAGCACCCGTTTTGCATTTCCTTGCTCGGGAAAAACAAGCCAGGGAAATGGCTTGGGACTCCAGAGAGGCCCTGGGGGAGGCCTGGAAAGGTCTCACCCCTGAGAGCGGGACTGCCAGTGCTCACGCCACGCCTCGTGCCGGGAAGCCCCAGCACCTCACCTGGCCGGAGCTTGTGCAGTGGCATCGAGGGCTCCGAAATGCATGATGCGTGTGCTGTGCATCCGCCAGCGGGCCGTGCGGACGCCTTTAAATGGTTGGCAAGGCGAGTGCTGGCTCGAAGGAGGGAAGATTGAATGGACAAAAGTGTGGTTGGAGCGAGCCCCAGGCGTGTCTCGCATTATCAGCCCCTGTGATGGTCACTCAGATACGACAATTTTCCTCCAGGCTGGAACGTCGCTGCTGGTGCAAGCCGGAGAGCAGAGGCACCCTAGAAGCCATCCTCGCTGCCCCCCAAATTTTGCCACGATCTTCTTCCCATGAGGGTTGGGCCAGTTTTAAGATCCACGATACAAGCTCGTCCTTCCAAACCTGCTCCTCGTTTTGTTCATGGAATGATTCTTTTTCAAGAAAGAGGTGCGAGGGGGAAATGGTTTCAATCAGAAGCAGGCAGCCCCTGGGCTTCAGCCCACCCTGAGGTAGGGTCAAAGGTGGTGTAGCCCGACCTTCGCATTTCAGCAGGGACTCACCCGTGAGAGCCCCCAGGCTGGGGTTGGGATGCAACTCAGCCCAGTCCGTCCCTCTAGTGTTCGTGGGCGCCCTGTGCCGCTTGCCCTGGCCTTGGAAAACGGGTTGAGGCAAGAGGAAGCCCCCGGGCGCCCACGGAACGAGCGCTGCTGCCTGAGGCGTGGAAGAGGCCGTCACGTGTGCCCCAGTTGCAGGGGCTCCGTTCCTGGTGAGCGCTGTGCAAATGCTGGGCACGCTCGCCAGGGCTGTGGTCCAGCAGAACGGGGCCTGGGGAGGCGAGCCCGGGGAGCCCGCTGGGCTCCCAGCCCCACATCCCTGCCCTGGGCTTGCTCTGCATTCCCACGGCAGCCCGTTTGCCCGCGGCTCAGTTGCTTGGCAGGCGCAGTTTGTGCAGGCAGAGGTCGCTCTGGACCCGAGCAGCGGGCGGGACGGGCAGCAAGGGAAGAGTGCGCAACAGTGAAGGGCAGTGTGGTGCAGTGGTTAAGGATGTGGGACTGCGACTCGGGCAGCCCGGGTCCTAGTCCCCACTCAGCCATGGGGCTCAGTGGGTGGTGTGGGGCCAGTCACGGCCTCTCAGCCCAGCCTACCTCACAGGGCTGTTGTTGTGAGGATAAGGCTGACAGGAGGCGGAGAATCACATTTCCCTTGAAGGAAACAAGCCGGGGGATACATATAATAAAGAAATGAAGAAATAGTCGAGGGCTCTCAGCCAGGAGGGGGAAGACTTTAGTCTCTCCAAGCAACCCCAGTGCAGCCTCGCTCTCTCGGTGTCTGTGCCTTCGGCCTGCCCTCCGCCAGCATCCAGCCCCTGACTACCTTGGTCCCTGGGACCCTGGTCCTCAGGTCCCCAAATAATCCGAAGAAAGCAGTCCAAAACCACAAATGTGTGCCTGGAAAGTCCCGGTTTGTCCGGTGGGACTTCCTTCTGGGTAATCGTGTCCAGCGTTGCAGGATGAACAGCCAGAAAAGATGGCAAAGGCGCTGAGGCACCTTAAGGACCGACCCTTCACTCTTGCGAAGGTCTTTCCGGGCATTGCCCATTTCCTCCGGAAAAACTTTAGCCCAAATAAAGGCATTTGTTTTGATGGGCTGGCAGGACCCTTTCTTGTTCCTGAGGCAGCGAGCTGAAACGCTGTTGCCCTGGAGGAAGGCAGCCGGTCCCCGGCACCCAAATGTTCCCTCCCCCCCCCCGCTGCGCAGAAGTGAGCGATCGCCCGAAGGGGCTGCAGGAAGGGATGCCTGCCGGTGACAGACAGCTGGCTCCGCAGAATAAAGGGAGGAGAAATGCAGAGCGGAGTGAATTCCTTGCTCTTAGCCAGCTTGCCCTGACCTCTGGAAAACTTTCCCCGGGAACTGCCAGCCCGCCTGGATTCCATCAGAACCAGAAGCAGACACACATGGAAAGCGAGCGTTTAAAAGCAAGCCAGAGTTTAACAGGGAAGGGAAACGGGCACGGCCTGTCCCATAACATTCTGCAGGCAGCTTGAACGGCTCCTCGGCTCCCTTCCCCCTGTTGCGGAGAGCGAGGCATGAGTTCCCACGCTCCGTCCGTCCGGATCGTTCCTCCAAGTCCTGGGGAGCCTTCCCCTCCCACCAGCTCTGCTAGGTGCGCATCCCGGGCCCCAAGCCCCTGCTCTCGGCCCCGCTTCCCAAAGTGAGCCGAGCTGACGGCCATCCCCCGGCAAGGCTGGCACCTGGACTGCAGAGCACCAAGGCGGAGGAGTGCTTGGGGATCCGGCTGCGTGGCCCCGAGCTGCTGACGTGCAGAGGGCTCTCCAGGGGGGTGGCAGCCACCTGGCCAGTGGGCCGCCACCTGTTCCACAAATGGCACCCGTGTGACTTTCAGCCAGGGCTGTTTCCAAACTCGAGAGGTGCCACCTGGTCCTGGGTGGCCCCGGGGAGACTGTGAGTGCCCACGTGTGGCAGGTGGCAGCTGACATGGTGATGCCCCCAGAGGGCAGCCCCCTCCCGGCACTGCCACGGTTTCTGCTTCCCCTTCGCACCGGAACCGCCGCTGCTCCGGGGGCCCGCGAGGGCCTCCCTCAGGCCTTGGCAGGCTTCCTTGGGAGCTGTGCCTGGGTGGCACCATCTTCCTGGGGACCCTTTGCACTGCGCCTTCAATCTGATGCCACCTGAGGGGCTGGCCTGCCCTTGTCACGGCCCCCAGGAAGCAGAAGGAACGATGACGGAGGAGGTGACGCCAGCTGGGGTGGCCGCAGACTCCGCTTTGCCCCCTGGCGGTCCCGTGCCCGTGCAGGCCTTGTGCTTGATGCAGAAGGGCTTGGTGAGACCCCCCGCCCCCCTCGCTGCCTCGTATGGCGCTCGACTGCCGCCCAGTTTTGCTGAAAGGAAAGCTGCAAGTCCTTCTGAGTGGCAGCTTTCGGGGGTTTGAAAGGGCGGAGACAAAAAGCAGGAGCGGGGCCGATGCCACCCCCACGGTGCCCCCCATATCTCCCCTGCCCCAAGCCCTCACAAGCTGCACCTCCCCTCCCAGCTCTGTGTTTGCAGGGTTTTGCTTTCACCTGCTTGCACGCGGCCTGTTATAGGGAGAAAGAGGGGGCAAGAGAGGCACAGAGAAGGGACGGTTAAGGAATAGAAGCGGGGAAGGGAAGGGAAGGGGGCTGATAGGTGGTGGGGGCAACCTCTGGGGACAGTTCCCGCCTGCCAAGTCCACTGTGGGCCGTACACCCCACTGCCAAAATCCACATTAGCAAAGCCCCTACATTTTCACTACAAAGGCACATGGGACGTATATCCCCTCAGAGGGGGTCTGTTGGCGACATCCAGGTATGTGAGGGGATGTCACAGGGAGGTGGGGAGAGACCTGTTCTCCCCTGCAGAGGAAGGCAGGACGCGCTCCAATGGAGCAAAGCTCAGGGAGCCAAGGTTTCGTTTAGATGCCAGGAAGCACTTCCTGACAGTTAGGACCCTGAGGGTGTGGAATGGGCTTCCACGAGAGGTCGTTGAGGCCCCATCGGTGCGGGTGTTCAAGGATAGGCTGGACACGCACATGGTGGGCATGTCGTGAGCAGAGCTGCCTGGAGCCAGAGGTCAGACTAGATGGCCCGGGAGGCCCCTTCTGACTTGCTCTGTTTCTATGTTTCTATGTATGTTCCCTCTTTCAATGCCTGCCATGCTGCTAGGAACTCCAGAAACTTTGCTTTGAAGGGAAAATGTATCTTTTTAAACCACTGCTCTGCCAAAATTTGGCGGCAATTTGGCGATGGAGGCTTGAGAGGTGTGGGGGCTGTACAGCAAGCTGGGGACACACACAGGACCCACAGCTCATGGAATCCACACTCCTTGTGGGGCAGACAAGTAATGATATCCAAAACTAAATTACAGACGGAGGGAAACTTGGAAAAGTTTCAGCAGTGCAGACTCTGTGTGGAATAAAGACCTCAGCAGCCTTTTTGGAAAGCACCATGAAAAAGCTCAGAAACCAAGACTCCTTCTTTGCCCCCAGTTTAGATTTTGACACAGGCTCTTTGAAGACGGAGGTGGAACTAGGGGGAGGTATTGTAAGGGAAATTTAGGTACCTGGAAGACAGGAGGGAAGGCGTGTCCCCAGCTCGGCACTTCTCCAGCTCCCCTTGGCGTCACAGGTGTAGGTACCTGGGAAAGACCAGAGCGCGTAGGGATGAGCATGAATCATGCCAGCAGGTGGCGCTGCCGGCGCGTCTACTCCGTTCTTTTCGCTCTAAGCCTGCAGGTGCTTTTCTTATTTGGTGCGTTACTTAATACTTAATTTAGTTTGCAGCATTTGTATACCAATCTACATCCAAGCAGATCGCAGAATCAGAGAACAGAAAGGTCCCAACAGTCCAAGAAGGCCACTGGGTCCAACCGTGCTGTTGAAGGACACCAAGTCACACCATCCCACTCAGAGGGCTGCCCAGTTTCCTTTTGAATGTCTCCGGTGTGGGAGAGCCCACCTCCTCTCCAGGCAGCCGGTCCCACTGTCCCATTGCTCTGACAGTGAGGAAGCTCTTCCTGATGTCCAGCCTGAACCTGGGTTGTTGCCACTTGAAGTGATTATTCCATGTCCTGCACTCTGGCATTAGAAGAGATCTTGACCTTCCTCTTTGGGACAGCCTTTGAGGGACTTCTAGAGGGAAATCACATCCCCCCTCAGTCTTCTCTTCTCACGGCTGAACATGCCCAGTTCTCCCAGTCTCTTCTCACAGGGCAGAGTTTCCAAACCCTGGATCATTTTTGTGGCCCTCTGCTGGGCCCTTTCCAATTTCCCTGCATCTTTCTTAAATCTTGGTGCTCAGAACAGGACACAGCATTCCAGGTGAGGTCTGACTAGTGAGGAGAAAAGGGAAACTACTACTTCTCGTGATTTGGAAGTAATGCTTCTGTTAATGTATCCCAAAAGATTCTGGACTGGTAAATAGGGCAAAGCTACTGGAGGTACAAGGATAAAACAATGCATTCAAAGCAGTATATTGAAGCAAGGCGAGATGAGAACAATGGCTTGCCTACAAGAAAGAATTTAGGGGTTTTTTTTAGTGGTGGTGCCCTGACTTTGGAACATGCTCTCCAGGGAGGTTCTCCTGGTGCCGTCACTTTATTCTTTTCAGCACCAGGTGAAGACCTTTTTATTTTCCCAATATTTTAACAGCTAATTGGTTTTATCTTTGATTTTATCATTATTTATTGGATGCAGTGTGTTGTGTGTTGTTTGCTGTATATGGTTGCACTTTTCTGTGTTTTTTGTAAGCCGCCCAAAGACTTTTAATATTGAACTGCATATAAAAACTTTAAATAAGTATTTATTGTGAGCCGCCCCGAGGCTTCAGTGAATGGGGCGGCATAGAAGTCTCCTAAATAAATAAATAAAATAAATGAAATAAATAAGTAAATAAATAAACAGGTGGCTGGTCAGATATGTCTCTTAGGCAGATCTAGCAAAGCTTTCTTTGTGCTCCTCATGCAGCAGGCCACCTCACTCAGATGCTTCTGCTCCACCCGCCCACTCGGCATGCTGGCCGGACCCCCGAGGTCACCGGTCTCACCTGTGATGTTGGGGACCATCTGGTAGTAGGGATGCTGGCAAACATACTGGATCTCGGACTGGTAGGTGGTCAGGTTGTCCGGCGTGGAGAAGGTTACGGTGCCGTGGTCCAGTGGGCGCGGCATCTTGCAGTCGGCAACTGCAAAGCCAAGAAGATGCAGGGGATTGGAGCAGTCCAGAGGCCAGACTGGCCATGGGTCTGGGGAGTCCCTCTCAAGGTTCTCCAGAGGTTCCCTCTCCCCCCGCCAAGGCTTCAGGGGTCCCAAATCGCTGTAGTAGCGGCTAGCCCAGGAAAGGAAATGGAGGCACCCACCCCAAATGCTCCTTGTCCACCTCGGCTAGGATCATCCAGGCAGAAATTAATGACTTGAAAGGCTGCTTTGGCCAAAGTGCTTTCCCCCAGCGATGGTTTTTCCTGCCTGGCATTAATGCAAAGCTGCTGCAGGTGCAGCTGCGGGTGGGGGAAGGTGGGTTGCTTAGTCCTTTCCTTTCCTGCCGTGTGTCCACTTAAATCCCCCCAAGAGGAACGAGAGAGGGACTCCAAGGAGAAAGGATATGGGGAGAGGCCATTCCAGAACAGTCATAGTAATATTATGAACGAGTAACATGCATTGACACTGAAGAGGCCAAAAGCCTCTGAAATGTGCATAAAAGCGGCACATCATAACACCCCATGCGCACAGATGCAGATTTAGAACTATTCCACAGAATTGTTCCATCAGATGGAGAATTTTCACCCACTCTGTTCTCCTTCCTTTGATCCAGACTTGGACTGGACGGAGGACACAGCCATCCAATAGAGGACCACCCCATATAAAATAGGACAGATGGCCACCCTAGGCCGGGCAGAGTTCCCAGGCACAATGCCCAAGATCTCCAGGTGGGGCTCGGAAGGAGCCCCAGAGCGCTGCCCTTTCTTCCCAAACAGGAACTGCAGTCTTGACCAGTCCTCCAGGGGACATGGCAAAGGGCCTGCACTGGGCAGCCAGCTTGGGTTGCACCAGTGGCAACTGGGAGCAGGTGCTTAAGCCACGGGGCAGTTAACAGCTCTGGAGTCCTTGCGGCAGAACGGCTGGCGATGCCCCGCCATTCCCTCCTGCACCGCCTTGAATGAACTGCAGTGACCCTCGTGGGGCAGCGGATGTGAACGGAGCGAACGGAGCGCTGACGGGCCTTTGCAGGGCTTCTCTGATGTCCCAGATTTCTCAAAAAAGCAGGTTAAGATGGCATCCTGGGCATTCAATGGCATAAAACGATGCATTCATATCAGCCCCAGCATCTTCGTACAAATGTTTCTGCTGTGGAAGCGTGTGATCCTACCCATTTAAGACAGGAAAAGGACTACAATTCCCAGCATGTCCCAGCCAAGGAGCATCCTGGGAGTCATAGGATCTTTCTTCTGTCGAAGTCTGCATGGGGATTCACCATAAATTGTTTATATATTGCCTGTTAGGAATATGAGAGCATGCTTTTATTCCCTTATAATGTGATGCTTTTTGCAAGCCACCCAAAGAGGTTTGGCTCTTGGGTGGTACAGAAATGAAATAAATTTTCACCAGCATCACCATTCACTCAAAATGAATGAGGACAGTTTAATTGATTCATGTTGAATTTAATTAGTCTGGTTTCCCTCCTTAGTTCTTGTTGCATAAGAGTCTCTGCAGAAACAAGCCACAGTGAGAGCATTTCGGTTGCAAAACGTATACCTATTTTCCTGGGAAGCCCTGGGGTTCTTCAGAAGACGAGCCATGTTCCTCAGGGAGAAAATCAAGACAGGTGGGCAAGCTGCCCTGAAATGCAGCTTGCCCACCCTGACCGGCTTGCTTTTTAAAATGTGTAGCCCCAGACTTATAGGGGCTACCGAGGCTGAACCTTCTGGAATATTTCATCATGCAAGAAGCAAACGAAAATTCCTTCCGTATATTTTCTGTCATGATGCAAACATATTCACCTATTTCTTCATGCCTTCCCACCCGAATGCAACACTTGTTGTGCTTTGTGATGTCAGGCTGACGGGCTAATCAAGTGGCGAGAACACCCATTTTCCTGTGTGAGCTCCAGTTCAGGACCAGTTCAGGTGAGAGGCTCTGTGGCTGAGCCGAGATTGCTCAGATTGCTTGACCTCCAGTCCCGGGCTCTTAACCGGTACACCACACTGGTCCTCTCTCTCTCTAGCTTCCTAAGTCTTACAATTCATCATTCCAGTGAGCAGCAGGTTTGGGCAGAGTGAAAGAAACCCAGGGACATGTGAAGGAAGAGGAGAGGTGCGAATCATGACCCATGAATGCCGGAGCGAAGAGAAGCTCGGCCTATTTTTCACTGGCGTCAGCCTGGGAGAGGCGATGGGGATTGTTAGGTTTCCTCTGGCAAGGAGGACAGTGAGCCGGGATTTCTGGGACAGAGATGCAGGAATTGGTCCTTGGCTGGAAAGAGAACCAATAGAAACATTGTCTGTCCACAGGTAGCAAGCACCTGGGCCATAGACAAGGCTCACCTGGTCACCCGATGGTGCGATGTCCGGTATTTCTATTTATTTCAGAACTTGCACATAACATATGCACAGAGGATGTGCAAATGCCGTGCCAGCCACAACGCTCTTTCGTCCTCACTTCTGGGGGAAGCCTTCCTTTTCTGGCAGTTCACCAGTGGCTTGGTAGGGCGGAAGGTCGTGGTGGACGTGGCGGAAGGTAGTTTGTGAGATTTGCTCTTGGACCGCTATCGGATTTCCATGTATGGTCCAGAGCCTTCTCCTTCCTGGTGTTCTTGGGAATGAAATGCAAGAAAATGAAAAGTCTGGGCCAGGTGGGCCCAGGGTTTGGGGATCTGGGGGCCCTTTCCTGCTGCCCTCCGTGAGGTGCTTGTAAAGCAGTTGGGGGTATGGAGCGGGATACTGAATTGAGAATCACAGTGAGCTCCGTCTGACCCACTTAATGGTGCTAAAGCTGCATTGCGGGGGATTTTGCTACTGAATCTGCTACTGCAGCAATTTAGGCCACAGGATGCCCACCTGCTTGGCTGGACCACAGGTGCCACTCGCTGCTTCTCGTGTTTGTAAGCGAGGGGCAGACCGTGGATGATTTAATCAAGGTAAGCTATCCGATCTGGGCTTTGGGGCCCGGCCCCACGGGCTTGCTCGATGGAGTTAAAGCACACCTGTGGGACCTGGTGGCTCAGTGGCTGCTAGTCCAGATGGCTAGGCAGGATCCTAGCAGAGTAGAGCTGGAAGGGGCCGTGAAGGTCCCAGGTGCTGCCTGTGGACAGGCAAGGCCTGCTGGTACAGAGCATCAATTTACACCATCCCACTCAGAGGGCCGTCCAGTTTCTTCATTTATTATCTTCATGTCCCACCTTTTTTCCTTCCAAGCTACTCAAGGTGGCTTACATACGCCTCCTCCTCTTCCTCCTCCTCTCAGCCTAATCCTCACAACAGCCCTGTGAGGTAGGCTGGGCTGAGAGTCTGGGACTGGCCCGAAGTGGCCCAGGGAGCTCCGTGGCAGAGTGGGGGCCAGGACCCGGATCTTCTGAGCCCCAGTCCTGTGCTCTTAACCACGACACCACGCTGGCTCCCTGTTCCCTCCAACAGTACCAGAGGCAGGAGATGTGAGCTGGAACCCAAGAAGAACACCAGCTCGCAAGCCCAGGTCGCTGTTACGTTTAAGTCTGGCTTGCGGGTTTCCTACAGGCACATGGTCGGCTGCTAAGGGAATGGAACCCTTGGCTAGAGAGCCCTGGACCTGATCCGGCTGACTCCTCTTACTTCCTAGTAAACAAATGCTACAGTCCACGCAAGATGCAAGCAGGCACATCTCTGGTGAAGGAAAGCCTCTTAGACTGGGGTCTTCTCTTGAAACAAACCTCTCAGGAGCAGGAGGCAAGTCCCTCTCGGGATTTTCAGCTGCTGGAAACCCGGGTCGGTGCCCTGCTTCTTCCTGCCTGATGTGAAGGAAAGGATCCCTCCCCTCCCCGAGGCGCAGTTCCATGCGCAGAAGGTGGACAAGTAGAAGGAAGCCTGTCTTCAGACAAAGCCTAATTGCCCCCAAAATTCATTGCCACCAGATATTGTTAGTAAAGATTTTCTACTCCTCCGCTAGCAGTATTTGGTGCCCGGATGTGGTTTCTCTCTTCCTGTTTTTGTTTGTTTGTTTTTAAATCTCCCTCTTTGAAAACATGATTAATAATGCCAAATGTAAAAAGAAACAGCTGTGATTTAACTTCACTTTGAAAACTGTTAATATGGTACATGAACCTTTGCCCATTCTGCGTCCCGGGCCCGGGGTAAGGGATGGTGGCAAACGTGGAATTGGGGAGTGGTCCAAAACGAGTTCCTTCATCCCTGAATTCCCAGCTCTGTGTTGTGTGGAGCCTCAAATCCCTCAAAATCTTGCTGCCGGTCTGCTCCTCCTCCAGCCCAAGCAAACGTAAAGGCGAGGGCTGGCAGTGAGGAGGAACGGTTGGTGACAACAGACGCCAAGTAAGTTTCGGTAGGGTTTGGAGTTACAGGGGTGTCTGGGATGTACAGTTTCCCGTGTCTCTTGGGAGCCACAGAGAACTAGAATGCCTGTGCAGTTCCCAGCAGCCTAGGACCCTCCTGAAGGATTCCTACACTGGGAAAGGAGACACCCGTGGCAGCTGCCATCACTGCATCTGCAGGCAACAAATTCTATGGGGCAAACACAAACTTCATCCCGCCCTGGACTTACTACCACTGCATTCAGTGACCTCGGGGTCTGGTTTCATTCCAAATTCAAATTGTTAGGGAGGTCCTGAGATTTAGCTGGCCGACATCTGTGTTAGCACCCTGTTTGTTGCAAAATAGCTTCTCTTGCTTTGATCTGGCTAGGGAAGATGTTTGAGAAGACGTAAAAAAAGTAGAACAATTTTGTAAAAGTAGAGGAGTGAATTAATTCCAGCACATATTTTCCCAGTGAAAATGACTCTTTCTTACACGCTTGGGAGGTGAGGAGGCACCTTTCAGCCGAGAGAAGTTAGCTCTAGTTTTTCCCCTGCTGATATGCTATCTTGTCTTTATCCAGTCACCAACGTACTTGGGAGGAGAACACATCGGGGCGGATGGACGCTATGAACGATCAGAAGGACTGGGAAGCCTGGGGCAGCGGATTGCATGGGTTTGGAAAGTAG